ATATTTGCACAACTGTGCGACCGTCACCACAATATAATTTTAGATTCATGGGACAGTGTTTTTATTTATAAACACAGTTAAGAAATCTGTAAAGCTGGTTATGTGTCCTGGCCAATGTAGCCACAAGAATCCCTTGGGAGGGACGAGTCGGTACAGATTTCCTTGTTTTAAACCTGTTTGAGGAGGTAGCTGGAAGGAACATTCCTAATTAGATTATGGGGAGGAAAAAAAAATCTTTGAATGCAGCTTTTCCTGTTATTTGCTAAAAAAAGCATTCCTATTTATTCACCTCGAGTAAAGTGACTCAGAACTAACTCTATTTGAAGACAAGGGGAGGAGTGCTGTATCAAATGAAGGAGTTATTTCCCACCTTCCTACCAGAACAATTCTTGCTCCTGCCAGAAAGGGAAGGAGGTGTGAATCGAGTATGGAATTTGGAGTAAATACTTGCGACAGCCGGTGTCCTGGCAGAGAAGAGAGCACCTATCCTTTATTTCCCCCTTACAGCTTCACTTGACCTTTTGATCAAATACTTTTCTGTGCTCCGAGTTCTTAAATAATGGCACTTTCAAGAACTATTTAGTCCAACTCAAACTTCATGTATTAACAACGATTTGGAGTACAAATTTATAGAAGAAAATTGTTCTCATCCAGCCGCCGAAAGCTCAAAATCAAAAGCTCTTTTCTGCTTGGAATCTTGCAAGAAGATTCAAGGCTCAAGATTCAGGGACGTCAGGTTCAAGGGCAACGTCTACGATTCTCTTGCGTTAGTTCATTCCTGTTAGTCGTTGGCTTAAGGAGGTCGATTTTCAGATGCTATGGTTTCATTTCGTCAAGTGCGCCGCAGCTTTCTGAAATTTCCTCCATGACCTTCCGACCTTCCTGCAAATTCAGAGGGACGGTCACATCCTGGGACGGCCCAGCAGCAGGTGGCGTAAGACCAGGCTACGCAACACTGTGCTGAGGAGGAAGGACACAGACGCAGCACTGGCCGCCCAGGGACAACAGCACTAAACCCCACCTTGCCCTCAGTGCACACCCTGCTCACACGACGTGGGCCAGCCCCACCCCAGTTGTGGGTCAACAGACTTTGCCTAAAGTCAGAAACAGCCAGACTCAACAGTGAACTGTGACCGGTGGTTTCTTCACCTGCACCACGACGATGCCACTGAACTGGATGTTTATACGGACCCACCCTACATCCTCAACACCTCGGATCCCAACTCCCATTTCTCCACGAGTCTGTGAAAAGCACTTTGACCCCTCTCTTGCGGGGTCCTCCGCTGGGGAGATAGCTTGGCAAAATGTCCTCTGCATGTGAATTTAGCATTTACTACTTGAAGATGAAGTGACTGACCCTCAGCAACCAGCCTTGGGGGTTAGGAGCGGGCTTCAGCTCATGAGAAGACGCAAGGAAGGTTTCCGAAACTCCTGTTAGCTAGTTGTACGGATCCCTTCCCTATACATGAAGTGGGGGAGGGGGGGTGCTTGAAGAGAGGTTGGGGTGCCTTCCAAGGCTCACCCAGTGCTTTAGGATCTGTGAAAATGCAGGACTGAAGGGGGAAACGGCTCTGATTGGCACTGGAAGGGAGTAAGCCCAGCCAGCAGCCTTAAATTCAGGGTAGAAATAGTGTCAGGACAGGAAGCAGCAAGGCAGAGTGTAGGAATTGATCCCCCTCTTCTGCTAGAGGCTGGCATCCCCTGGGCCATCCATTCCCCTGAACTGGCTTCAGGACTGGCACTCCCAGACTCAGCTTTCCTGCTCTCCTCATTGACGGCCCTATTCCCCCCAAGTTGCCAGAACCCGTACCAGCTGGTCCACGGCCACCGCGGCCATGAACAGCTCACACGCCTTTCCCATCAGCGGCTGTCCTCAGTTTCCAGTGCCTGGATGGGAACCGTACTGTACAGGGAGACAAGACTCACTTTCTTTCTTTCTCTTTAAAACCTGTTCCCGGGGCGCCTGGGTGGCGCAGTCGGTTGAGCGTCCGACTTCAGCCCAGGTCACGATCTCGCGGTCCGGGAGTTCGAGCCCCGCGTCGGGCTCTGGGCGGATGGCCCGGAGCCTGGAGCCTGTTTCCGATTCTGTGTCTCCCTCTCTCTCTGCCCCTCCCCCGTTCATGCTCTGTCTCTGTCTGTCCCATAAATAAATAAAAACGTTGAAAAAAATTTTTAAAAAAATAAAAATTAAAAAAAAAAATAAAACCTGTTCCCTACAAGTTGCAAGGCTCCCAAAAGTCGGGTTGTGGCTAATGGCATTTGCCCTCTCTCCCCTTTCATGTTACAGACTAAACACGTGTAGCAACAACAAAGCTGTCGTAGTGCAGTTATGTGGGAGGTACTTCCTGTGGGCTTCAAGGGCTTTATTTCATTTAATCCTCACAATGATCCTACCAGGGAGATATTACTATCTTAATTTTTGGATGAGAACACGGTGATCCAGGAAGGTTAGGGGTCTTGCTTAAAATCATAATATATACAGGGCAGGGGTGGGGTTCACATCCAAGTGGTCTGACTCCACAGCTTGAGGGAGGGGAAGCGGGGATGGCATCCACCCGGGTGTAGGTAAGGAGAAACTTTAAAATATAATAAAACCAACTAGAAGTCGGATGGCTTTTTTTTTTTAAGTTAAAAAAATGTTTATTTACTTATTTTGAGAGAGAGCACAAGCAGGGGAGGGGCAAGGCGGGGGGGGGGGGTGGAAGGAGAGAATCCTAAGCAGGCTTCACACTCAGCACACAGCCTGATGCAGGGCTAGATCCCATGACCCTGGGATCATGACCCGAGCCCAAATCAAGAGCCGGACACTTAACCAACTGAGCCACCCAGGCACCTCAGAATTTTTTAAGGTGGAGTCATATTCCATTGTACTCAAGAACTTGGGTTTTTAAAGACACCTTAGAGACACCGTACCTTAAGGGACTTTCTTAAGTTCAAGAAGTTTACCTTACGGTGTAGGTCACGGGCATTGGGTTTTCTGTGTCTTACAGCTGAAACAATTCTAATTGGACTATAAGGTACAATTCAGGTTCTTCTGTGAAGCTCCAGGGTGGGCAATGAGGCCCAGAGAGTCCTTAAACGGAAGCCCTCCAGCATGTGGCAAAATGTTACGGAATTTTTGCATACGCCTGCGTGTGTGCAAATCTAACCTATATTTACATACACACACGCACGAATGTACAACTAAGGGCACATCTTTCATTCTTTTCATTCTCCCTTCAGCTATTCCGATGACTTTTTTTTTTTTTAAGTTTATTTTGAGAGTGTGCGCTCCCATGCCAGTGGGGGAGGGGCAGAGATAGAGGGAGAGACTCCCAAGCAAGCTGTGTGCACGGGGCTTGATCCCACAACTGCGAGATCATGACCTGAGTCAAAATCAAGAGTTGGGTGCCTAACGGACTGAGCCAGCCAGGTGCCCAGTAATTCTTTTTACAGCTGTTAATTTCAACAAACAGTTATTCAGTACTTAACATTCTCCTTCATCATAAAAAATATATGTAACTCCAAACTGAATGAGACATGGTAGCTGGTGCTCTGAGGAGGAGCACAGATTGATGGCTCTTTTCAAAACACTTCCACAGTCATCCCTGGAGTTGGAAATAATCAAGTGTAGTCATGGGTAAAAAATAAAAGCATTTATTTAAAAAACGCCATCCAGCATCAGGAGCTCCAACTTTGGTAACAAGCATGAAGGGTGGGTGGTTAATGGTTTTTTTAGTGGATGAAATTGGTGATACACGAGGCTGCATGGTTAAGAATCCATATATATATATATATATATATATATATATATATATTATTAAACTGAAAAAGTGAGTAAGCAAGCTACTATGAAAGAAAGGGGCCTCAAGTAAAGAAAACATCACCGTGCAATGAAGACAATCTCTTCTTCAGTAAGTACTAGCAAAGCAGGTTTGACTTCCTTGCAGGATTATGGGAAAAGCTCCTCATGGAACATTCAGTCATGGCTACGAAGAGGCGGAAACAGAAAGATGTGGGCAGACCCCTTGTACTCATAAGAGATACAGGGAAGTGAGGATAAGGAGAACGAAAAATCGAGCAGAATGTCTTTGCTCAACGGTCCCCATAAAAAATGTATTTTAAAAGAATCTGAGCAAGTGTGGATTGTCATTCTTTGGCGACCATAAAAGTGTTAACAGATAGCATTAGAAATCAATTATGCTGTCAACACATCAGAATAGCCTTTCACTGTAAGTGTATCTAAAGCCTCCTGCAAACTATTGCACATCACATTACAAAATTGTGTTATTGGTTTTTTGTTTTTTTGGGTTTTTTTGCTTGTTCGCTTTTCTGGTTCCTAGTTGTTCACATTCTGGGAGAGGACAAAGGCCTTTAGAGAGCCATCAATTCAACGCTTTCATTTCACAGATAAAGGAGGGTAAGGTCACATTCGGCCTCAGTGGCAGAGACTGGACTAGAATCAGGTGGGGTGCCTTCCCCGTTACGACAGGACGTGATTCGCACTCCACCCTGTCCCCAGTCTGTACCCGATGGCTCTTGTTCAGATGGCTACTCTGAACACCCAGCTGAGAAATACTTCCTGGGTAGAGCATTGTGATAGGAATTTCTTTATTACTTTTAATGTTTACTTATTTTTGAGAGAGAGACAGCACGAGCAGGGGAAGGGCAGAGAGAGAGACAGACAGACAGACAGCGTATCCAAAGTAGGCTCTGTGCTGTCAGCACATGGGGCTCAACCCACAAACCATGAGATTATGACCTGAGCCGAAGTCGGACGTTCAACCGACTGAGCCACCCAGGCTCCCCAACAGGAATTTTTAAAGGCTGCCTTAAGAGAGATTAAGGAGAACATCTGGCAGAGGACACTCCAGGGGACATGGAGACACGGCTCCCTGGAGTCCCCCACCAGGATGCCATCGAATGGCGTCACTAGTCAGTGGTAGGCACTGTGTCCAAATACACAAATTCCAGAAGAAAGAAAAAATACATTCAATTGGATTCTTTTTAAAAAGCCCCACCGTTCTCATATCTGCTTTTAATTTCCTATTTATCACGACTCAACATTCTAAATGTTCTCGAGGGGCTCTCTATCCTTCTGGGTGGCGATACCAGTAAGGCTGGGCTGCAACATTTCTGAGAGGTCCCTCAAGAGTGAGGGTGCTCACATCTCCCGGGGACGTCTTCTTCTGCGTGTCCTTGGAGAACAAAATGCAGGCGTTACCGTATTTTTACAGTGTCTACCCTGTAAGTTTGGGTTCAAGGGTTGCTGCAAGGAATGTGAATTAAGGATAATCCTCTGTGATGTTCATGAACTAGGAGAACTGCGACGGGAATGTTCTTAAAACTCTGACGATCTCTGGTTTATCGAAACAACGTTGCAAAGGACCTCAAGTCTGCACAGGGTCCCACAGAAACTTGGCTTTCTTGGTGCTCCTAGGTTTCTGGAAGAGCCAGGTTCTCTTTTATTTAAATTCTTGCCAGAAATGTGCTTTCTCAAGGGAAGGCGAAATCATTTGCTCTAGAAAACAAGAGCCAGCCGTGGGTGGGGAGCTCCATCTCAGGCGATCGATTGCCTCTGCAGGGTAGTTCTGGTCTCTTTCCATATAGATTGTTGTATCTTATACACAGACTCCTGGAAAATCCTTTCCACTTGTGTAGGAAAGCCACGGCTTTCTTCCTCTAGGGCATTGATGGTTCGCAGAGCAAAGGGAGTCCTTTCTCGGGGCAGGGGATTATTCAGGGGCCGAAGGGGTATGACGGAGTTGTACTTGTGCTGCCTGTTCACGGAGTTCATGAGGGACGTGTAGAACTGGAATTTACACCAGGTGTCTCTTAAAAAGTTTTCGGTCAACAGTAAGATGGTCCAGGCAGACCCGTTTACGGCGTCGTCTAAATTCTGCAGGTGCTGTCTGCCGCACGGCATCTCGGCGAAGATTATTCCGGGTTTGATGCCGAAGTCATTTTGTAGCAGATTCTGGACTCTGAGGGCCTCGTCTGTGTCATCTTCTGCGTGCAGTATCACAAACTTGAGGAACACCTCCTCTTCATCCTCTTCGGGCACCTCTTCTGTGGCCTCAGTGCCCTCCCGCTCTCCAGAGGGCGTCAGGGCACCGTGGCTATGCTCGGCAATGTCACGCAGGGAGATGTCGTCGGATTTCTTGGAATCTGCCTCATGAGGTCTCTGGCTCATATCCACACTGGGACTTTTACCCCAGGGCAGAGAGAGAGGGCAGGGGTCTATTTTAGACTTCCCAACACCCATTATCAACATCTAGGTCAGGAGAGGAGGGCTTCACTTCTTCCTCAACATCTCTTTTCATCTAAAGAGAGAAGAAACAACAAAGCAGACGAAAGGTTGTAAAGGTGATCAAAACACAAAAAATGGAAACTATGTTCTTCATTCTACCAGAAAACCTGAAAAAGATCACAACACGTGGACCCTGAGAAAGAAATGCCAATCAGCTCTTGGAGCAAGGAGATCTCCTGCCTTTGATGAGCGTCACGAGGGCCGCCACAGGTTAAGCCAAGGGCAAGTTCAATAGTCAGTTTATGTAACAGGAGACATGTGGAAATCTTAAATGGTTTTATGTTCGCACTGTAAACCTCCAGAATAAAGTCAATGGCTTTGGTGTTTTACTGAGATGGTACCATACCACTCTACCCATATGGAGTTTAAATCCAACTTCTTCATTATCCACTTACTGTGTAAACTAGAAACAGAGAAGTGGAAAGCAACAGAATACTCAAATATTAAATATAAAGCTTATTTTTGCATCAAATACAAATACAAAACAGAACACAAATTTCCCAAAGATCACTAGCCAGCAGCTCTAACTCAGCACAAAGAGAAGATCTGAAACGTCAAATGAAGTAACGGCTAAGGTTCACCGGCTGGGAACTTCTCTGTCTGGGGTCAGGCACTGGTGTTGGGGCTGGCGGGGAAATTGCAGTAAGGTTGTGAAAAGTAAGGAATACCTTTTTCTAGCTAATCCTGGGAATACTTTGAAAACTCAGTGTTCATCTAGGGAAAAATTAACATCTCAGTTTGGCGTGGGATATGGAAACAAAGCCTAGTGATTTTCTCCAGTGAAATCAACAAAGAATCATTACAGTCTCATCCTCATTCTGTTGTTTTAAAAATTCTAAATTCAGAGTGGAAGAATTAGATCAGCTGTGAAAAGAAAAGTACTTCACGTGAGTCTAGTTTAAACAAATCTTCCGATAACATTGGCAATGTGGTGAACAGGACTCCCAAACAGGCAGTTTCAAGGATTCTTTTATCAAAAGATAGAAAATTTACAACAGATAAATAGAGGTTCTATATTTTCAAATAGGGGCCCAGAGGCTCTATGACAGAGGTTTTTTTTTAATATATATTTTTAGGGGCGCCTGGGTGGCTCAGTCGGTTAAGAGTCTGACTTCGGCTCAGGTCATGATCTCACAGTCTGTGAGTTCGAGCCCCACGTCGGGCTCTGTGCTGGCTGCTCAGAGCCTGGAGCCTGTTTCAGATTCTGTGTCTCCCTCTCTCTCTGCCCCTCCCCGTTCATGCTCTGTCTCTCTCTGTCTCAAAAATAAATAAATGTTAAAAAAATATATATATATTTTTAAGTGTATTTATTTTGAGAGAGAGAGACCAACCCAAGCAGGCTCTGTACTGTCAGCACAGAGCCTGATGTGGGGCTTGATCTCAGCAACCATGAGATTGTGACCTGAGACGAAATCAAGAGTCGGCCACTTAACCGAGTGAGCCACCCAGGTGCCCCTCTATTCCAAAGCTTTTCAATGTATTGTTCATGAACAAAGACCAGAGTTCAATTAGGTTTATAATTATAATGACATAAATAACATATACCAAGATAATTTAGGTTTAGAAAAAAAACATTCAGCAAAAATGGTGGAAAACTGTTATGGGAAGAAAAGATAAGGGAAAACAGAAAAATTTTTCATGTACTTAAAGAGAGAAAGGGTTTGCTACTGTCTCTGAATAGTGAGGGAATTGAGGGAATTGCTAGCTACAGCTTCTCCTTTATTTTGTCTACACTTTAGCTTCTACTCGGCAGTATGTTATGGCAGCTACCAAGAGGTACTCTACGGCAAACTCCAAAACGCTACACGCATCCATCCCAAATAGCAAAACCACATGAATTTGGAATCTCTTCGCTGGTTAGAATTAACTGCTGACTTTGTTGTTGTGTAATGAAAAACAAAAGGTGTTTCCCTGCAAAGTTGCAGCAAAAAGCTTCTCCTGTATAAAAAAAATAATTGTTGAGTGATGTACATAATTGTTGAATTGCTATATTGAGTATATATATCATCAATACAGTCTGAAACTGACTGAAACTGACACAAGACTGTAGGTTAACTACACTGCAATTTCATTCAGAGAGAGATCAAGCTCTCGGGAGGGGGAGAGGGAGAGGGAGAGAGAGAATCCCAAGGAGGGTCTGCACTGTCAGCACAGAGCCAGACACGGGGCTTGAACTCAAGAACTGTGAGATCACGACCTGACCGAAACCAAGAGTCAGATGCTTAACTGCCACCCAGGTGCCCCATTACACTACAATTTCAAAAAACCGTTAACCATTTAGAAGAATCTACTTATGGTGTCCATTAAAATGAGCTTCACTTATGTTCACTGAGATAAGTTTGTGAAACCAACTTAACACTGTTATCTTAATCACTAGTGGCTGCAGAGAAGTGCACTTGGAGGAACAGAAGAGATATTCATAAAATGCTTCTAAAATAACTAGGATAAAATGGTATGTCAAGCCAGAGTCAAAAAAATCTCTTGGCATAAAGAAAAGTAAGTAACACAAGAACTGTGACTTTATATCTTAGTTTTCTTAAACATTGGTCAGCAGAAAAGAGGAAAGCCTCCAGAAATCTATGATGGCGCTGTTTCAACATCCAAGCCCTCCTACCCAGCCCCACCCTAAGCAGCCCAGAGAGAAGAAAGCGAGGGACACTGTCTGGAAAACTTCACTGGGACCTTCTAATCTGGAGGGTGGGTGTAAGGAGAAAGCCCAGGAGGAGAGATGGGAGATTTGCCTTTCCTACCACCCAGTGATTCCTAGACAGGCAAATGGTCTCCATCCAGGACTGTGGTTCTCAAGGAAGAAGGAAGGAACACGACTGTGCTCTTGCCAAGCCAACAAACTCCACCTGTAAGAGGGCTTTCCCACAACACAAGGCAGGTGTGGGATAAAGAACCCGGGGAAGCCTTTGTAGGTCCCCTTCCCATCGGCTACAGACAGATACAGGGTGAAAACATTTTCCTCCCCTCAGTGAAACGGAAGGCGAATGAAGGCAGCCGTGGGGGAGAAGCACACGAAATCACCGGTCACAGGAATAAAAATGCCCGTGTGTACATTTTTTCATTTGTGCTTTTTTAAAGAAAAGGTAGTAGCTGAAATACATGACGACTCTGAGGACGTTTTTATAGTGAAAAGTCTCACTTTCATCCTTGTCTTCCCCATCCATCCTGTTCCCCCATGGCCTCCTACTGGTGACCACTTTTGTTAGTTTCTCTGGTACCCTTCCATTGTTTCTTTGTTGTTATTGTTGTTGTTGTTGTTGTTTTTAATTTTACTTTTTAAAATTTACACCCAAGTTAGTTAGCATATACTGCAACAATGATTTCAGGAGTAGATTCCTTTGTGCCCCTTACCCAGTTAGCCCACCCCCCCAACAACCCTTCCAGTAACCCTCAGTTTGTTCTTCATATTTATGAGTCTCTTCTGTTTTGTCCCCCTCCCTGTTTTTTAGATTATTTTTGTTTCCCTTCCCTTATGTTCATCTGTTTTGTCTCTTAAAGTCCTCATCTGAGTGAAGTTATATGATTTTTGTCTTTCTCTGACTAATTTCAGTTAGCATCATACCCTCCAATTCCAGTCACGTAGTTGCAAATGGCAAGATCTCCTTCTTTTTGATTGCCAAGTAATACTCCATTGCATGTATATACCACATCTTCTTTATCCATTCATCCATCGATGGACATTTGGGCTCTTTCCATACTTTGGCTATTGTGGATAGTGCTGCTCTAAACATGGGGGTGCACGTGTCCCTTCGAAACAGCATACCTGTATCCCTTGGATAAATACCTACTAGTGCAATTGCTGGGTCGTAGAGTAGTTCTATTTTTAGTTTTTTGAGGAACCTCCATCCTGTTTTCCAGAGTGGCTGCACCAGTTTGCATTCCCACATTATTTCTCTATGAATATATATCCTTTTTCTCTTTCCTTTTCACAAAAAAGTGTCATCACTTATGCATATGTATGTATATAACACACACACACACACACACACACACTGAAAAACAGCAGCAGAGACACGTAGCACATAATTTCTCACTCTTGTTTACAACAAAATTTTCGACCACGTGTATATACCATAATCGTTCTCTGTTCTTGGATACGCGAGTTGTTTCCAGTTGGCTCCTATCATGGACAATGCTGCAGAGAACAGCTCTGAATAAAAGCCATTTCATAATGTGCGCAAATTCATCTGCAGAATCATTTCCCCAAATGGGATTTCTCTGTCAAAGGACAAATGCATTTGTAATAAGGATAGGTTTGGCCGAATTACTCTAAGATGGAAACTTCTGTGTGTCTGCTTTTAACCTGATAGAATGACATCCCTACCCCCACCCCTAGTCCCATGAAAGATCCAAGATCAAAGCTACAGTTACCATTGACACCAGCCCAGCTGGGCTCATTACATCCCCTCAGGGCAATAATTACGTGGAAAAACTCAACCCTTCAGAATGGAAGGGAAGCTGAGGTTCTGAAGGGGAGATCAGGGGGTCCTAGATAAGAAGGAAGGAGGGTCCAGAGTATACCCACCTCGTACCCAGCAAAAGAGGTCCCAAAAGGATCCTCCACATTAAACAGGAGTACAGTGAAAAGGACAAAATGACGAATATGCGTTCTTGGCAAGTAGGCATACAGATCTACAGAAAGTGAAAAAGAATATAAAGACAGCAGGCAAGAGACAAAAAATTCCAGGGCGCCTGGGTGGCTCAGTCGGTTAAGCCTCTGACTTCAGCTCAGGCCATGACCTCACAGTCCGTGAGTTCGAGCCCCACCTTGGGCTCTGTGCTGACAGCTCAGAGCCTGGAGCCTGCTTCGGATTCTGTGACTGCTTCTCTCTCTGCCCTTCCACCTCTCACGCTCTGTCTCTCTCTCAAAAATAAATAAACATTAAAAGGCAAAAAATTCCATTTTCATGAAGACGAGGTGCTCTGGACGGGCGCCTAGGTGGCTCAGTCGGTTAAGCATCCAATTTTGGCTCAAGTCATGATCTCATGGTTCATGGGTTCAAGCCCTGCATTGGGCTCTGCACTGACAGTGTGGAGCCTGCTTGGGATTCTCTCTCTCTCTCCCTCCCTCTCTCTCTGCCCCTCCCCCCTCCTCTCTCTCTCTCAAAATAAATAAACTAAAAAAAAAAAAAAAAAAAAGACTATGTGCTCTTGAATCTGCCTAAATGTAAATCCCAACACCCTGCTATAAAAAAAGCCATGTGACTTTAGTACAAGTTACTTGATAACTCTGTGCTTTAATTTCATCATGTGCAGAGCGGTGATAATCACAGTACCCACCTTTAGGGTTTCTATGAAGATCACAATGGCTGAGCACAGCACTCCTTACGTGTTAGTGGCCATTATGGTTATGACATACATAACAAAGAAGCTGAAGGAACATTTCATTTCCACAACCAGGGCTTACGCTCTGGGGCAGGGCTACTCCAAGAGCAGTCCATGGACAAGCTGGCCGTCTCTGAAATGTCTGGTGCCAGTCCACCCCAAGATGGGGACACCGTGCCAGGATGTAAATCAACCACATCAGGTAGGTATGCTTTTCAGTTCAGCTAACATTTTTTCATAGCAAGACATTTTCAATGCAGAGAGCCACACGGTTTACCTTCAGTGCCTGCTGCTGCTTCTATTACGAGACCAGCGTTCTGAATAGTGCTGCCCCAGGAGACACTAAAGAGAAGGGTAACCAACGAAACAAAAGTATCGAAGCTGACGGAACAGAATTCCCTGAAAAGAGAGACTGCAGACAAATCAAGGGTCTGACACCATTACGAAGAAACAGAAAAAAGGCGGCACATGGAATAAACAGGATCAAAACCAAATCAGTTAAACGTGGTGGAAAGGTGTGAAGAAAAAAAAATCCGAGAATGCAGAATGGAAAAAAGACCATTGACAGTAAAGCAATAGGAAAAAAGATATAGCTATGGAGATTTGAAAAAGAAAAAAAAAAAAAAGCAAATGGAATGAAAACCAATGCATCTGAAATAGAAAATTCGATGAATGTCAACACAAAATTCGAAGATGTAACAGATTCACCAGCCTCAATCAAACGCTCAGCCTTACTGAGCCCAATCAGACATTATGTGCCTTCCGATGTAATTCCATATGATGTACACGGCATAATGCATGAAGCAGTCTTGCCAAAAACGTTGAGCCCGACTCTAGCCAAGTCTTTGGATATAATTACCAGTTTACAGAAATAAGGAGGATGTGAAAAATGTCCACCAAGAGGGGAATGGAGAAAAAATTGTTTCATGCCCATTATCACAGAATACCAGTCAGCAACATGTAGGGAAGAACTACTGACAAACGCACGGATGTGGATGAATCCCAGACTAATTATGTCGTATGAAGGAAGCCAGACCAAACACAAGTACAGATTTTTATTCCATTTATATCAAAATCGAGAGAATTCAAATTGATCTATAGAGACAGAGAACGTTCCTTTCGGACCTGCTTAGGAGAGAGGGAGCTTTGACACTTCTCTTCTTTATAGTATTTAGTCCTTGTCCCACATGGCATTCTTGAGAAATGCTTTGCCCTCTGTTTTCAAAAATCCACAGTACTTATACAGCTCTGTTCTAGATAGTTATGACTTACAAGTCAGGCTGCCCTCTCACTAGACTTGGGTCCATCCTCTCACGACCGTGGAGTAAGGATTTATAATTTGAGGATATGCTGAGGCAGAATCTAAACAATACAAACAGGGGCGCCTGGGTGGCTCAGTCGGTTGAGCCTCCGACTTCGGCTCAGGTCATGATCTCACAGTCCGTGAGTTCGAGCCCCGCGTCAGGCTCTGTGCTGACAGCTCGGAGCCTGGAGCCTGCTTCCGATTCTGTGTCTCCCTCTCTCTCTGTCCCTCCACCTCATGCGTGTGTGCTCTCTTTCTCAAAATAAATAAATAAATAAATATTTTAAAAATAATAATAAATAAATAAAGACCTTGGTGAGGGAAGTAAGCCATGCAGGTATGTGGAGGAAGAGCATCCTGGCCCTGAGGCCAGAGGGTGCCTAATGACTGATGAGCAACGGGAGGTGGGGTACGGTGGGGCTCGAGAGCACAGCGTAGAGAAGGAGGAGATAATGGGGAGAGGATGTCAGAGGAGGGTTTTGAGCAGAGGGATGCCACGGCCGGACTTTGGTGTTTGTAGGGCGGCTCTGCTGCTCTGAGAACAGAACGGAGAGAAGCAAGACCACTTGTTCGGAAGCTGTTGCAGGACCCAGGAGGAAAACGGTGGTGGCTGGGACCAGCACAGAGTGGAAGTGGTGGGCAGGCGCTGGATCTGGGGTATATTTTGCAGAACTGGCAGGGGTTGTTCACGATGCTGAGTGGGCAGAGAATACAGAGTTAGGAGTCTGGGGGACAGGCCCAGCCAGGAGTTGCGTATTTGGCTTTTATCAGTGTACTGACTGTATCTGAAGTTTGTACATTTATTTATCTGAGAGAGACACAGAGAGCACAAGCTGGGGAGGGGCAGGGAGAGGGGGAGAGAGAATCCCAAGCAGGCTCCACGCTGTCAGTGCAGAGCCCGATGTGGGGCTTGAACTCACAAACCATGAGATCATGACCTGGGATGAAATCAAGTCGACCCTTAACCGACGGAGCCAGCCAGGCGCCCCAATGTATACAGACTGTTTTTAAAACCTAAAGACTGTAGGGGCACCTGGGTGGCTCTGTCGGTTAAGCATCCGACTTCGGCTCAGGTCAGGATCTCTCGGTTTGTGAGTTCAAGCCCCGTGTTGGGCTCTGTGCTGACGGCGTGGAGCCTGGCCTGCTTCGGATTCTGTGTCTCCCTCTCTGTCTGCCTCCCCCACTTGTGCTCTGTCTCTTTCTCTAAAAAATAATTAAACATTGAAAAGAATGGAAGGGAGGCGCCTGGGTGGCTGAGTCAGTTAAGCATCCGACTTCGGCTCAGGTCATGATCTCTTGGTTCATGTGTTTGAGCCTTGGGTGATGCTGTGCTGACAGCTGGGAGCCTGGAGCCTGCTTCAGATTCTGTGCTTCCCTCTCTCTCTCTGCCCCTCCCCCGCTCATGCTCTGTCTCTCAATAATAAATAAACGTTAAAAAAAAATAAAAAAAAAAACAAAACCTAAAGACTGTTGGAGATGGTTAAGGGAAGGAGTAGAGATAGAAAAAGGAAACGGTCCAAGGGCCGAGCCCTAGGGCACTCCAACAGTGTAAGGTCAAGAACAGAAAGGACCAGCAAAGACAGAAAGTGAGCAGTTAGGAAGGCCAGAGGAGTCCTAGGAGAGTGTGGCGTTAACTCAGAAGCTAAGGGGAGGAAGCGGTTCAGGGAAAGACAGTGTGCAGCTGTCTTCCAGAGCCTCCAAAGGCAAGATGGGACAGGCTGCCGGAGGAGCCACGGATGCAGGACCTACTGATTCGGTAAGAGCGGCTTCGGTGGGCTTGTGTCAAACATGAGGGAGGGGAAGCCTCACCGGACAGGGTTGAAAACAAAAGAAAAGAAGTTCGAGGCTGAGTATAGAGCGTGACGTGGAAGAGTTCTGCCATAAAGGAGAAAAGGGAGTAAGAGCTCGGGGGAGGGGGCCTGGAGCCATAAGAGGATTTGCTACAAAGATGACTGCTCCAGAGAGCGAGCTAGCGGAGGTACAGTTTGGTGATGCCGGAGGGAAGGAGGGAAAAAAATGAGGGAAGACCCATGTAGGCGAGGCGGGGGTGGCATCCAATGTCAGTTAAGAATCTTGATATTGGCTCAGGTCACGATCTCGCGGTTCCTGAGTTCGAGCTCCGCATCAGGCTCTGTGCTGACAGGGCAGGGCCTGCTTGGGATTCTCTCTCTCCCTGCCCCTTCCCCGCTTGCAGGTGCTCTCTCTCTCAAAATAAATGCATAAACTTAAAAAAGAAATTAAAAACAAAACCAAAAAAAAAAAAAAAAGAGGGGTGCCTGAGTGGCTCTGTCGGGTGAGCATCTGACTTCAGCTCATGTCACGATCTCACAGTTTGTGAGTTCGAGCCCCGCGTCAGACTCTGTGCTGACAGCTCAGAGCCTGGAGCCTGCTTCTGATTCTGTGTCTCCCTCTCTCTCTGCCTCTCCCCCGCTCATGCTCTATCTCTCTCTGTGTCAAAAATAAAGATAAACATTAAACAAAAAAATTAGAAAAAAAAAGAAAGAAACAGGCTTCGTGTGAGTTGATTTTTCACAACTGTAGGCTGATGTACGTGTTCTCAGCATGCAGAGGGTGGCCGTGCTAAGCTGTGATGTTCGGTACGTGGGGTGTATTAAATGCACTTTTGACTTAGGAGACGTTCAACTGACGATCGGTTCATCAGGATGCAACGCGAGATCGTTCAGTCCGGGAAGATACGGACTCAGGTTCCACCAAGAAGGAGTTCTGCCTCCAGGTGGCGACGCAGAAATTGTGCCTGAGTTTCCAGCCTTGGACTCAAGATGCAACACCAGCTCTTGCCTGGGTTTCCAGCGCTGCAGACTTCTGGCCCTGGAGCCCCACAACCACGCAAGCCAATTCCTTAAAATAAATGCACCCTGCCCCCCACCCTCTGCCCTCTATACAACCTACCGGTCCTTCTTCTCTAGAGGACCCTACCATAACCTTCCTTAAAGGTGTGTTGCCCTAGAGTTAGGAGTTCATCTTTGCATTTTTTTCCTTTTTTATTTTTATTTATTTTTTTAATATAATTTATTGTCAAGCTGGCTAACATACAGGGTGTAAAGTGTGCTCTTGGTTTTAGGGGTAGATCCCCATGATTCATCATTTACATACAACACCCAGTGCTCATCCCAACAAGTGCCCTCCTCAATGCCCATCACCCACGTTCCCCTCTCCCCCACCTCCCACCCCCCTCAGTTTGTTCTCTGTACTTAAGAATCTCTTACGGTTTGCCTCCCTCCCTCTCTGTTTGTAACTATTTTTCCCCCCATGTTTGACCACCTGGGAAGAGGGTCCCAAAACAGCAATAAGTGAAATAATGATCAGCAATAATTTGATAAAATACGAGAACATATACAGTTTTCAGGGTGTCCATGTATTTACCCCAGAAAAAGCTTGTTACTGAGATTACTGCCCCTGAAATGTAATACATTTAAGATTAAGGCCCCTAGTGCTTGACTCCTTCAGCGTTGTAGGTTTTCCCTATCTGAACAGCACCATCTTGTGGCAAATACGCATAAAATCAACAGTGTCTTCCCTCATTCAATTACTACGTTTCATCGGTATTAACAAATAAGTATTGTGGAAAACTTACTCTGTACCAAGACCTACTGGGTTTTCGGGATGTGAAGCCGGGATGAGTAGACGATAAGTAGACAATCACTGCACTGCTGCTTTGTCCAGGACACCACGTGCTACGAAAGCGCTCAGGAGGGACACCTGCATCGGACGACACTCGCATGAGTAAGTCTGAGGCACGTGGACACTTACCAGGCAGGGGGAACAGCATGTGCAAAAACACAGAGCCAAGTACATTAGGATCATTTCGCACTAGGTGTTTATATGCCTCGAGTATGAGTAGGAGGAGGCGGGGGGAGCCGTACCAGCAAGAGGTAGGGATGGAGATACACAGGATTAATGAGGGAGCTACCTAATATATTCCGTTCCGGACTTTGAATGCGATCGTGTTGGCAGACAGAGAGCCCTTGGAAGGTGGTAAGTAGGAGAGACATGATTTGACTTGTGCAGGACAGGTTAA